AGACTACAGATCAAGGTTTCTCAATCTTGGCACTATTGCCATTTTAGGTTGGATAATTCTTTGCTGTGGGGCTACCCTGTGCATTCTAAAATGTTTAACAGCATCCCTGACCTCTACCCACTAGATGCCAGTAGCAATCCCCACTCCACGGTGTGACAACCAAAAATGTCTCCAAACATTGCGAAATATCCCCTGGGGAACAAAATCACCCCCAGTTGAGGACCATTGCTCTAGACCCAAATAATATTTGCTAACTAGAGGCTCAATGGCAAAATAAATAATGATAACAAAATGAAGCCCTTTAAGAAAAAATACCTGTTTTAACAAGAGAGCATTAACTACTAAAAATTGAATAAACTTCTTTGCATTTCTATGAAAGACCCAGAGGCCACAGTAAGAGAGCATTCTGAAATTTCACAGGGGCATTGAATCAAATTCTAGAGCAGATGATCAAGAAACCAGAACGTCTGAAAGCCATGAATAATATTCAGAAAATAAAGATGATTTTAAATGTACTTAAAGCACAGTGAAAGACACAGATGTGGAGTGAATTTAAAGCTAATAGTTTCATAGAACACAAGAAAATACCATGAAATTAAAATGTTACTTGTGGCAATGGGAAGGAGAAAGAAGTCACAGGACTTCTTTCAAAGAATAAGTCACAGGAAAGGGGGTCAAATATGTGACAGAAAGAAATCTAACTACAGGAGGTGAAAACGCTGTGTAAATATATACATATATATGTATATATGTGTGTGTATATATATATATATGCCTTATCGTTAAAGTGTACAGCTGAAACTTATTGGATTTCATTAACCAATGCCACCATAAAAATAGATAGATAGATAGATAGATAGATAGATAGATAGATAGATAGATAGATAGATAGATAAAAAAGAATAAGTCACAGGAAATTTCAAATATTAAGTCTAATAAAATTTTTGACTATTCCCAATAAAGCCTAGATTTCACCTTTGTGAGGAAAACTACTTACCACAGCATACCCACTGTGTCCACTAGTATTTTTAAAATCACACTCTCCCCCTCAAAAATACTATAAGTCAGTTTTAGAGAATTATTTGTACTTTTTACATAGTTTTGGTAACTTTGCATTTGTCGAGATTTATATTTTGATGGTAAGGCAGAATATAGACGATTAATAAGCTCACATCTCCAAAAAAGACAATAAAAACATAAGTCACAGATTAAAAAAAAAAAGAAGTCAAAAAATATCAACAGAGCATAGATAACCTCTTTCGAATTGGGGCCATGTGACGCAGGCTTCCAAGTAAGAAATCCACCGTCCCATTCTATCAGCTCAGGAGGCACCCGCCAGTAGCTAACACCTGGAAGATAAAAAGACATAATTAAAAGGGCCCTTGTCTACTGCAAAATGTTCAGAAGCACTCTTTCATATGAGACCACCCAGAAAGAGTTTGAGGTCCTTGCCTCCCATTTGGCAAAGGGAGGGGTATACAGAAAATGCCCCGACGAAGAGCCTGGGCAAGTAGTGACACAGCTTATGGCCTGGGTCTAGGAAGAGCTGGCTAACAGCCCTGGCTCTGCTGCTAACAACCAGCTGGTCACTATGTGGGCCCTGGGCAGCTAAGTTTGCTGGTTAAAGGATGCAGACTCTGGCGTCCTTTAGCCTGGCACAGACTAAGCACTCAAGACATATTAGGTGCCTTTATTATAAGTCATAGAGTTGGTAGTAGCGTAAGGATTGGGCAGTGAGGGCGAACACTTTCTTTGTCTACCTCATTTGGTTGCTATGACCTTCAAATTAGGTAAATTTTGTCAACCACTCTGTAAGAGGCAATCACTATACGAATATGAGATACCACTATCCTATCAGCACCTTTTCAAACAAGAATAATCTGAGTTAATGTGTTAGGCTGCAATTCCAGTCAAATTCATTTTAATTTTTAAATCTGGTATGTTCCTGATTAAAAGCTGAAAATATATTCTTACGAACCCTGAAAACAGTGAAAGCAGACAGACACAAAAGTCACATACTATGAATAGGCAAATCCGCTGAGAGAGAGTGGACTGGGGACCACTGGGCAATGAGGGTAGAGGCAAATGAGAACTGCTTCGTGAGGACTGCGGCTCCTTTTGGGGTGATGAAAATGTTTTGGAACTAGTAGAGATGGTGGTTATACAACACTGTGAATGTAGTCAATGCCACTGAAATGTATAATTTAATTAATTCTGTTATGTGAATTTCACCTCGAAAAAAACATTAAAAGTTATATATAAGTAAAATAAGAAAGGCTTAAAAATGAGGTTAAATAAAAATTGCCTGGCACTAAAACAAAAACAAAAACATCTTTAAGTCCCAAGGACAAACTTGGTGTCTTCTTTTTTGTCATTAAAGGTCTGGTAATAATAACCAACTTAGCAAGCTGGGCATGTAAATTTTTATACATAATAAAAACTTTCAAAACTCGAAGAACTCTATGAACCTCATTTTAAGACAATAACTTTCTGGAACTGCTTTATAACACTCCCAAACCTACTTATGCTACAAAAACATTCCCCAATCTCATCCGTTGTTTTTTTTTAAGTCATTTGTTGAGATATAAGTTACATACAGTAAAATTCACCCTTTTCTAAGTACAGAGTTCAATGAGTTCAATTTTGACGAATATACAGTCATGTAACCATGGCTACAATGAAAATAGAACATTTCTATCACCCCAAAAAGATCCCGTCGCTCTATCCCCTAGTTTTGCCTTTTCCACATAAATGGAATCATACAGTATGTAGCCTTTTGTGTCTAGCTTCTTTAGCATGATGCTTTGAAGACTTATCCATATTGACATATGTATCAATGATCATCGTTTTATTACTGAGTAGTATTCCATTGTATGGATATGCCACTATTTGTTTTAAAAACTTTTGTTATTTTTCCTGCCTATAAATTAATTCACATTCATTGTACAAGACTTGGAAAATAGAGAAAAGTATATATAAGAAAATCAAAATCACTTCTAATCCGAAAATCAGAAATTATGATTCATTATATTTTGATGTATTTCGTCTTTTTTCTATTCATATGATATACACATAATTAAAAACACTTTTCTTTCTGCTCTTGATTTTTTTATCACGGCCATTCACTTATGTAAAAGTTACTAAAAATAATTTTAACAGCTATGTTATCGCATGGATATGCCAAAATGTATTTAACCCTCTATTACAGGCTTTTAATTTTTCATTTTTTACCTATTGTGAGTAATGCTTAATTGAACATCCCTGAATTTTACAATGTCCTTAAGGTGGATTCCTAGAGGTATAATTACTGGGTCACAGAAAATGAACAATTTGATGCTACTGACATGTACTGATAAATTATTTTCCAAACAAGTAATATTAATTTTTACTCCTGCCAAAGATGCATGAGATCTTTACTAATCTTGTACCTAAAAAACAGTTATCATTTAACATATATTTCACTGATAATTGAGTTTGAACTTCCTGCTACATCTTCCTCTTCTGAGAATTTTATGCTCATGAACTTTGCACATCTATTTGTAGTAGGGATGGAGTTTATTTTCTAATCAATTTACATAAACCTTCTTTACCTTCTCTATATAAGGATATTCTTTTTCTAGTTAATATAACATTATTTATCCCAGTTTTTTATTAGTCTTTTAATTTTATTTTTGTGTGTTTGTTTTAAAGTTGTAAGGCTTTAAATATCATGTAATTGAATTTATTAACCTTGGTCAATTTATTTTAGGCTTGTCATTTCTTTCCTACTTAGAAATCAATTATTTGCTTAAATTTCCTCTTATTAGTTTCATTTTTCATTCATAAATCTACCTGAAATTATTTTGATAAATGATGTGAAGTTAAAGTTGTTTTTCTTCCAAGCATATTTCTCAATTATTTTTTAAATAATCTATCCTTTTTTCATTAATATTTTAGTGAATCAACTACGTGACTTTCTTATGACAGTACTTTTATTCTTATAACTTTATTGAGTTTTACTCTTGATATCTGCATTTATTCTTATACCAGAAACACGTTTTTTATTATTGTAAATCTAACCCATGTTTTCTATCAAATAGAGTTAGACTCATCCCTTTAAGGACTTCTGTTTCCCAGAATGTTCTTGGCTCTTTTACCTGTTTATTCTTTCAAAGAAATTTTAGAATCATTTCCAGATTCCCAAAGAGTTCTATTGATATTGTGGTAGAAATTGTGTTAAATTTATAATTTAATCTGAAGTGAACTGACATCTTTATAATATTCATATTTCTTATTCAGGACCATGATATGTCTCAGCATAATCTTCACGTCTTCTTTTTTATAGATGGATGAATGGATAAATGTATTTTAGTGGTTTTCTTCATAAAACACTCAAATATTTCTTGGTAGGGTAGTCTCAGTTATTTTATTTATTGCTACTGTGAATGGAATTTTCCCCTATAATTTCTAATTAATTTATCATAAGTAAACTGCTGGTCCTCATTTACTTATACTTTATATCCAGCTAGTTTAGTCTAGTAAACGTGTCGTTTCAAATATCTTCATTCTTTTGAGTTTTCTAAAAAGACTTATAGTCTATAAATAATGTCTTCTTCCTTCCAAGAGGTCTTTCTCTTAGTTCTGTTTCCTGTCTTATGACTTTCCACAGGCCTTCCAGAACACTATTAAATAACAATGATACTCCATTACATACTTCCTAAAAAGTTGAAATCAGATGAATGTCTTGAAAAGCCAGTGATCCCAGCTCACGGGTCCAGCTTCCTATGTCAGTGGGGAAAGAAGCCCAGCCAGGCCCTCCCAAAGCCTCCTGAGCAACCTGCCAGTCCAGAGGCACAAAAGGAGACACAGAACACCAAGGGGTTTGTTCCTCAACTTAATCCCAAGCATCTCAAAGTCAATTAAATCTAAAATAATAAAGGGAATAGCACTTCTTTCATTATACTTCATCCTGCCTGCTTGAGGAGTATGAAAAGAAAAAAAAGAAAAAGTGAGGGGGGCAAAGCTGAGCAAAGAAAGAAGGCTTAAGTACTAGCACCCTGCCTGAAGGAGAAACAGCTAATGTAGTTTTTAAAAGCCTCTTCCTCTCCTTTTATTCATTTTTATATGACTTGCAATGGCTGTCTCTACCAGCTTTTAAGATCATTTAAAGAATCAGACGTGTCTTATTTATCTTTGGACCCAATTTTAGGACTTATTATAGTACTTGCACTTAACACTCAATAAATGCTTGTTATTTAAAGGGGAAAAAAAATTAGGCATAGAACAGTTAACCCTCTGTGATCCTTAAGCCAGAGGCATGGCCCCTCTGAGATTGTTTTCTCATGCATAAAATGGTAAATAGCATAGGGGTTGTTTTAGGACTAAGAAATACTGAATATAAACTACTTATCACACTGGATATTAAACAGCATTATTATTATCAACTCTCATATAAGTAGTTCCAAAGTATATATGTAAAGATTATTTTAATTGTTTTATAAGGGCTCTTTAGACATTGTCCCCAGCATTATTTTCATTTCCTCTTTTTTTAAATTATACATCTATGCTTAATTTAGAGGTATAATCTACTAGGAAAATGCTGGGTACATAGTAAGTGCTAAGTAAACTCTTGTTTAATTGAACTAAATAAGCAACTCATGGCATTTAAAGATTTGTAAGCAAAATGTTGCAATGTTACCATGACGTGACAAATACCTGGTTCCACACAAACACTTTCTCAAAAAAAGAAATGCTGTATCTGAGCTTACTTTGTCTTATCGAGGATATGTCTACCTTCTGCCATGAAATAAAAGAAGTGTACTGTACCTTTTCCTTCCCAGGCATCAAAGGCATCCATCATTTTCTTCAATTCTGCTACTGAATAATAGCTCCATATGTACTGAACATTATTTCCCGCCTCTCTAGAAATATTGCAAAAGGTAATGAAAATGTACTACCTAGGTATATACATGTGTATATGTGCAAATATATATATGTATGTATATATTAGACAATAAGTGCTTATTAAGGAAAAAATATGTAGGCACTGAGTAGTTGTTCTGTGACCTTTAATACAGTATTTATATAATACTGTATACTATGAGTATACTAACCTACATTTGGTCTTTTTACTGTAGTAAAGTACCACAATATAGACTGTGAACAAAAATCAACAAATCTTTAAAATAGTTTTCTAAAAAAAATCACCTAACTCCGGTAAAATTAGAAAAGACTCAACTTTGATTAAACCTTTCCTAGCACTATGCCAGGTACTTATGTATCTTATATGGAAACATTCCTGCCAGTAAAGAATTCAGGAAATGATGACATATTCAATCATTTAAGAAACAAGCTCACATGGTCATACATTAATCACTAATACATGACCCAATCCAATCTCCCAGAGAATTTTTTAAAAATTGTGCTAAGTGAATTGACCAGTGTCAATAAGATTACAGGGAAAATATTTAAAGAATAACCCTTAAGAATTTAACGTGTTCAAGTTATAGAATTTTAAAGCTGGGAGGGACCAGGGAAGTCTTTCATTATTTCTTAAAACAGGACACCAAGGCACAGGCCAGTCTTGGGTCACTCAGTGGGCCTGCTAAGTTCTAGGCCAGTGCTTCTGTCCCTAGATTATGGTTGAGGGGAGATACCTAGGAATGTGGCTTTGCTTTTTTTTCTTTCCTTTTTTTTATAAAGCCCCATAGGGGATTCTGATGCTCACTCTCAGTTGAGAACAAATGTACTAGACCACGTAGATGGCCTATAGCTTATATATATGTGAAATGGTCTTATTTATAATCTCCCCATGAAGCAGGTTCCACAGCTCCACAGGTTCATTCAGTCTGTTGGGAGGTGTTGATGGTCTTTTCTAGTCAAACACATATTCCATTCAGTAAGACCAACACTTTATTTTGTTCCTTTTTCATTTTTAAATATGAACATACCTTTTAAAAATGCTTTTACTGTGAATTCTTCCTCCCAGCTGCTTATCAATAGCATCTGTTCCATCAGTTTTAGTGGAATATACACCAATAATTCTACTCTCACAGCTTGCACCAGATGTGTTAAGATAGTGGAGAACCCAAACCGTTGGTTTATTGCAAACTAAACCATACGAATCACAGAAGTCTGTTAAAGCCTGGAGCAAAAAAAAATATATACATATCAAATTTAAATTTAATTCTGGAAAGTAAGTTTTTAATTAAAAAATTAATTTGTTCTGTTACTTTCATGTAAAGCTATAATTTTAGTTGGTCATAAGGGAAATAAAAAGATTATAAATTTCAGCCTAGTCTTTATGCCTTTAAAAACCAAACACACTTGTTGAATTTAGGGTGAGGGGCAAATCACAAAAAGCACCACCCAAAAATTCAACACCTTTTTATCTAGAGAATTCTTTTCCACATGGAAATTATATTTTATTTCCTCCCTCTTTAGCTTCACTACCAACATCATTTTTAATTTGAAAATCTTCATATAATAACTAAGAGTTAGACTTTCTTACTTTTCCCTTTATTTTCCCCTAAATTTTTCATTTGACTCAATTTTCCTTTCACTTTCTACCAACTAGCCCCATGGTTGATCCTTGCTTTTAACTCCAAATCCAATCATGGATTAAGCAGATTAACTTGTTCTTTTTACACTGAAAGATACTACAAATATATGAACTGAATAGCTACTGTCTAAAATCATTTGGCACCTCTCCACCTATTCATTCATTTATTTGAATATTAAGTACCTACTATGTGCTGAGCACTGTCTAAGGTCCTGGAGATAACATGGTAAGCAAGAGACAGGACCCCAGCCCTCCTAGAGTTTACAGCTAATGCAGAAGACAGACATTAAATTAGCCATCAGCACACAATGTAGCAAATGCTACCAGGTGAGCCTACAAGGCACTGAGGGGCACAAAGCAGGAGGGCTTTGCCCAGTGGAGTGGCAAGGACCTTCCCTGGGAGAGATGGCATTATTGTTATGAGCGCCCTGAGGACAAGCACTTTTGTCAGTTTTATTTCATATGCCAAGTGCCTGGAATAGTGCCTGACGCAAAGGAGATGCTTAATATTTACTGACTCAGTGAATGAAAAGAGGACCCCGCCACGTCTTGCATTTTCATTTAATACCGCTACCTAACTTCTGTATTGCTTTTTAACTTTACTTACACATCTATAAGAATTCCCAACTATATTATAAACTTCAAAGGCAAAAACTGTATGTTGTACTTCTTTCTGTCCCACACAGTCCCTAGAATAGAGCTCCATATGCCAAAAACATTTGAAATAAATATGTATCAGCAGACAGAATGAATGCACGCATGATATGTCCCTTTTGCATACTAAAATAAGTATGTGTCGGCGGACAGAATAAATGTAGCATGCTATGTCCTTTTTGCATACAAACCAGGAATAAAAGACTATAGAGATGAGACTTCAGAAGATGAATGTTAACCCACCCCAACCTTCCAGTCAAGCTTTTTTAGCCCCATTCTGCAGATGTGGCAAACAGCACCAAAAGACTAATAACTCAATTTATAAATAACTTCAGTAGCAGAATCCATACAACCACGCAAATATCTAAAGGGGATCTGGAATCAAATCAACTTCTCTTCACGCTGCACTCCTAATAGCCATACCATCAGCTTGCTCTCCCAAACACTGACATCAAATTAAAAAATTCAATTAATTCAGATTTGTTTTCACTATTAACAATTATCTAGGAAAAATATTTTCTTTAGATGTCCAAAGGTGCTAATAGCAAACCTGATACTTACCAATAAGACAATGAAGCTTTTTAAGTTATGTAAAGATCTTTAAAATGTGATTTCAAATAGAAGCACATTAAGAGACTTAATAATCTCAAAATGAATTAATCAAACTGACGTTTTAACTTAGTAACAAACTGCTACATTCACTAAATTAGGTAAGAGATTTTAAAAAATCATTTCTGTAAACAAAATAATATTACTACACCCTCACATACTACAGTATTGCTCTTAATTTAAAAAGAACTTCAAGAGAAGAACAGGTCTATAAGACACTCATTAGAAAGTGTTAAATCCTCAATGAGAAATAAAAACTCCATAAACCTATGAGTGGCAGTGTAATACACTTTCCTAGCATACAATTTCGACCTTAAAAATGACTACTAGTAATTTAGAAATGTGCCTTGAAAAATCATAAAAAAATAAAACTATCTCATGTTTGGTTTATGTGACAACACAGGCTATGCAAAATAACACACATTTTGTGCATAAATAAATATGTGTGTGCGTGCATATATATTTTAAAACTTAAGAAAATGCCAAGACCTTTTTAAGTTCTATATTTGACCTTAAAGAATATGTCTCCATTTCATTGGCCAAGTGGTCAGACAGGCTGTACGGGTAAGGGATGCCAAAGTAATCAGCCTCTTCCTGTAGAGCAACACGAGTTTGCTCATCAGTGGGAATGTGAACTTCTCCATGAAGATAATCCAAAAGGTATTTAAATAGATGTCCATCACGGTCAATAACACAAGCCCCTAGAAAACATGCAGTTCAGAAATGATTGCACAGATAACATATGACCATTGACAAAATTTCAACACGTCAAACTAAAATCAGACTAAAGTTAGAAATGTTTCTTTCTCACAAGAAAGTTAACATCTAGGTTTAGTCAAATTTGGTGATCCTTTGCATTCTCACCAACAGTATATGAAAATGTATTCTGAACTCCATTTGGAATTTTGGATGCAATGACCATATTCCCACAATGGCCACTGCAAAAGCCATTGAGACCTCGGACTACTAGTAGGAATGGAAGCTTACCCCTAACCTCAGCTCAGCTGGGCCAGGAAAGGCTTTGGAGTTCCTCTCTAATGAGGGTTTGCAAAGTGCTCATTACTATGCCCAATGTTTGTGTCGACTTATAATGGTGACATATAAACCCAGGGTTCCTAGCTCCAAGCATGCCATATGCTTGGATTTATTAGATTAGTCCCTTTGTACTATGAGAATCTAAACTTCAAAAAATAAATGCTATGCTGGTACTACTTTATAATAAGAGACCATTCTTAGATCATTTATCAGAATTTAAAAAAAAAAAAACACTTCTGTATGAGGTTACTCAACAATTCTTTTTCTCCACTGATTAGTTTAGAAAAGAAAGGATTAAGAAGGTAAAACTTTGGGACAGAGAAAAAAATTTGGTCTCTGCTTGTTCACTAGCAACCTTGCTGTCCAGATGGACATCAAGCCCTGGGCACTGACCATCAGTGTTTTCCATTCTTTCAACTGCCATTCAGCTGGCAAAGCAATCTCTCAAGACCCAGGGTTACTAATAGCCCCTCATGCTCAAGACTCCTCAATCCCGCTCTTCTAACACAGAAGCAAGAGTGGGTTCTATGACCCCCAGAACCACTAAGATGTGCAAAAAGACTGCTTGCATCTAGACTAAGTGACAAGTTTAACACTCATTCTACACTAACAATGACTGCTCTGTCAGTGATGAGGGCATCTCCAGAGATATACACTTTTTAACTTGAAAATTATAGAGAAGCTAATATATTTAATCAGCCTCAATACCTTCACCCATGGAATTGCATGAATGTAACAACTTTCATATATAATTAATCCCCATAATTAGGTCATGATTGGCCTTTACATACTCTCACTTTTTTTGTCAACTCTTAGAAACAGCATCACAGATTCTAGAAACTGGTATTTAATTTCTCCATGTATTCAATAAATCTCCATGCAGTCCTAATGATCTCACTAATTAATAAATTAATCTAATATATTCTTTTGTAATTAGGAAAAAAAATCAAAGGGAATTTAAACTAGATTCTTATTTTAATGAATATTCATGATCATGCTTATAGACTTTACATATTTACCTGATTCATCTGTTTTTAGAGGGAAACGACCACTGAACATGGATGCCAGCATGGAGTCCTTAAAACGGCACAAGGACTCACGCCTGGCTGTATAAATACAGCCACCCACGTTCAGTCGAAGAATATCTAACATCTCTTCGTCTGCCTTGTGACCTTCCATTGCTCCCACCAACACTTGAATTTTTCCTTGAAACACTTTCAGAAGCTGCAAAACAGTGGTGGTCCTGGTGCCCCTCTGTAAAAACAAAGGACTATCACCATTGACGTTTCTAACAATATACCAAATAGATAATAAAATAAATACATTTTAATCCAATTTGGCAATATTGAAGGATTTTACATGAGTGAAGTTTGAGATTGCTGAGAAGCTGAAAAACTCTGGCTCAGAGTATTTGTAAATGATAATAAACTATTACTGACCAAATCAGTAATAGTTTATTTAGCTGTTGAGATGACTGTTTAAAGAATTAAATAACACATTGTGTGTCATATATAAAGCAAAGGTGAGGTGTGCTTATGATCTTCAATATTCACGTCTTTTTAAACTACAGTAAGTCTGGGAGAGCTGTCTAGAATGCAGAGATTAGTGTGCAGCATGGGCTCTAACACTCACTAGCTCTGGGACCTCATGGCAAATTCTTACCTTCCTCAGTCTGTGTCCTCACCCAAAATGTTGGTAGGGATGATACCTATCTCAAAGGACTACCGGAGGAATAACTGAGAATCATAAAAAGCATATAGAACAGTCTCTGGCTCAAAGTCAGTACTCAATAAATGATAAATATTACCTATAATGATACATAAACTTTACCATAAGGTGTATACTGAGAGGTTTGATATGGGCTTTGTGGATTTAAAGAAACAAAAGAGCTGAGCTTATTAACAATGGTAATTGCAATTGCAATTCTTAAGTTAGAGATAATTAAAGAAGATATAATTTATCAACTGAGATCAGAATTCTAAGTAAACCAGTAGCCAGACTGCCACGGAAGAACAGTAACGCCTCTAACTCATCTGGCTTCTTCGCTCTAAAATGGCTGAAGCTTTAGGGTAGTTTCAAGGATTTGATTTCTTAATCCATCCTGGGGATGAATGAATCACAGGCAACTGTGGCATTTTTATGGTACCTAAAATAATACTGTGACAAAAAAGGTACTCCCAATATTGAGATCTACCATATATGCACATTTCATAGCAAGTGTAAGAATACTGCCAAGAGGTTTAACTGCATCCATAGCAATTCGCTTTGTGATCAACTAAGGTCCTTTTGTAGATGCTCTAATTTAGCCAGTCTCCAATGAAATAAATGAGAGACCGTCAGTCTAAGGAAAACCATGTGTCAAACATGACCAGCAGACAGAAATTATAATGGAACAACGGTCTGGCCTTCAAAAACACTTATGGATGTGACTTCTTGCACCATCTGTAAGACCTAGGAGCAGGCCCCCAATGATTTGTGTGAGAGAACCAACCACCTCTGAGGCATGGGATGGAACTGGTTCATGCTGCCCTAGTTACCAGCTCCCTGGAATTGTATCTATTCCTCAAAGCCCCAGGCAAACCTCATTACTTGCATAACCTTCCAAAGCACCCCCAAGTTAAAATCTTTGCACAGTTCTCCAAACATACTTTGTACCTCTGTCCACATTTTATCCTACTTGGTTAATCTCTAGTTTGGGGGACTAAAAGCCCCTGGAAAGCAGGGCCTGTGTCATTCTTACTAATTTCCATTTACTACACGCTTACTATGTGCCAGCCACTATTGGAGACACTTGACAGACATGACCTAATTCACACAAAAGCCCTACTAGGTAAGAACTGTGCCTATTTACAGATGAGGACACTGGGGAAAGGAATAGAGATGTGTGCAGGGTCCACACTAAGCCTGCCTCGCTAGTTAGTGATGGAGACAGGCCCAATCCAGTCAGCACGACCAACTCCCAAGCTCTTCCTGCTGCACCCCACAATGCCTTCCTCAGCACTTTTTCGCCCCTGAGGCTCCTGACCCAGGCAGGCACTTCCCTGGGCATCTGCCCATCTGAAGACTCCTGTTGGTGGCAACTGGAACACAGCGCACCCTGAGTGCGAGGATTTAAGAGTCGCCCCTGCCTCGGTCAGTCTCTTCTAAGGCAGAGGACCAATACCATTTCAAGGCCAGTCATGATGCCCCATCCTCAAATGTACTGCTTAGCTCCCTGCTGTGATGGAAGTGCCCTGTCCTCTGAGGAAGTATCCCCTAAGTGCGGTCCTGTGACCACCTGATTCAAAACCATCAGGAACGCTTGCTGAAATGCAGATTCCCGGGCCACCCCCAGAGTCCGGTTCAGAAAGTCTGAGGAGGCGTCAGGAGTTCGCCCAAGGATCTACTTTGAGAAACGCTGCTCTAGGGACTCACGCCCCTCCCACGAGGTGGGACGAAAGGGGCTGGGACACCACAAAGCCCCGCCGGAGTCTCCCCGCAGCCCGCGGACCCGGAATCGGCCTGAGCCAGCAGCCCGGGCCGCCCGAGTTATAGCGCGGCCCGGGTCCTTCCT